ACGAACAACAAAAAACCACCCAGAAGGAGAGTTTTAGGACAAATAGTAGCATTGCCTTAATCCTTACTTAGAATAAACCAATTAAGATTTCTGGGATTAATATATATATATATTGTGTTATATAGATTTGTCACTTGACATATTTTCTAGCAAACTCTTCTCAATGTTTTCTTAACAGGTATGCCTCAGCTGTGCTACCAGAGAAAGGAAACATTTTAACCTACTGGATCAGAATTTCTAAGCCTATCTTTAGAAAGATGTTATTTCCTATTTTGCTCCAGACTGGATTTGCAGCCTACCTTGGCTCTAGACAATATAAACTACTTATAAAGGCTCTTCAGTTACCTGAACCTGGCCTAGAAATTCAGTGATTGTTAAACAAATGTGTTTGCAACAATAAAACTATAAAAATAACGTGTCTGCTATATAAACAGATTTGTAATTTATCACATGAGGTACAACTCTTGAGACCTACAACAAAAAGCTACACAAGGCATCAAAAGGCTGAATACTAATAAATGCTACCCACTTAAACGAGAACGTAACTTCCCTAGTTTGCCCAATAGTATCTCTTCATTGCACTTGCTCTATTCCTTTATATTAGGCAGTTTGGTCTTTAACACACAAAAAAAGTAATCATAAAGTAGTTTACAATGAAGACTTCATAAAGAATCCATACAGGAATGAAAATTGGGGGTAGTATCAGTACAGCAAATACTATTAACACTTCATTTTCCCATTTTTTCCATAGGTAGCAACCCATAGAATCTTAGAACATACATACCAACCTGCCTCCCAGAGGCATCAATTCTTTACAGGTGTTTATTCTGGCTCAGCTTGAGCTCTTCTAATGATATAGGTACATACTTCAAAAATCGCTGTATTTATAACACAGCGATTATATTTTTATTGGAAAGCTATATTCTTAAAAGGCTGAAGTCAGTTCTATCTTGGAAGTTTCCATCAAGTATGGAATAGTTTTTGGACTCAGACTTGAGCCTTTCTTTTTAGCTGTGTGATGCTAAGCAAGTTAACTAGCCTTTCTGGCCCTCAATGCTCATCATTAATGTCACTCAAGATTGGTATTATGTAACATGTAATTTGCCTAACAGTGTCAGTATCAGGCAGTCACATGGTGGCCATATTCTTCCTATGGTTCCTGGTTTTGGAAATATCATCCTTCCTTGTTTTCTAAGAGCATTTCAATTTTAGACGTGACCTATTGTGTTCCTCTTCCTAAGTCTTTTGATCTCAACTCTTTAAACCATTTTCTTTTGTGACAGCATCTGTATCAGTACTGTCCAATAACTCTGTGATGTTGTATATCTGATTGGCAATGTTAGCTATTAGCTACTGAGCACCTGAAATAATGACTAATGCAACTGAGTTACTGAATTGTACATTTTAATTAAATTTTTAGCCAAGTGTGGCTAAAGGCTACAGTATTGGACAGCACCTATCTAGACAAACACTTTTCTTATTAAACAAATTAGTCATACCAAATAAAATATTACAAAATATCAGGTCATATTCATAAGCATCCTAGATTTTCCTTCCAGATACAGTGACATAGCTGTTAAGTAACCTTAAGCTACTCAAAATCGTATGAAAGGAGAACATAGCTGGTCACCTAGGAAAGGCACCTTTGTGAAATAAGCTTTCTCCAAAGAAAGCAGTGCAGCCAAAAATTAAAGTGAAATTAAAAAAAAATACATTTTAAATTTTCAGAAAGCAAAGATGATTTATTCTTTCAGCAGGTACTTAAAATGTATTATTCCCTACCACATTTATGTAAGAAATGATCCCAATGAAAAAGCAAATTACTCTGTTTTACAATGGATATTCTCTGAATTAGAGAATACAAGTGATTTTTCATCTGTTTTCTATAATGAATATGCTTTACTTTTACAACTAGAAAAAAATATGTATGTAAAATTTAAAAGGAGAAAGTTTCCTATTATACAAGCTAAAATACCAAGCTAAAGCTCTGACCCCAATTTACACATTGTATCTTCATTGTCACTTTTATTTAAATCACAGTTCTATTTGTCACTGTAAGACGGTGGACGGACAATGAATTAAAAGTAATTCCTGACTTCAAAAACAAGAAACCCCAATTACTAAACTAGACTCCTTAAAAGTAGACAATGGTATAATCAACTTGGATAATTTAAAACCCACTGATGTTACCTAATTAGTGCAAATTGTTTCCTTACATACCCTTGAACACTCCTACATTGTTTACTCCCTAGCATACCATTTATAAGTGAATACAAGAATTTACAATGGTTTCAGGATTTTTCTAGTATGTCCTTTACACTGTGTATTTCTTAAATCATCTTATCAATTAAATGGGCAAGTGGACAACGTAAGCGAAAAAGAATGTTATTTTAAATCTGTTGCTACACATCTAACCAAAATTTTTGGTCAGGGGCAGATGCATATGAATTTGCATTATAATTTAAGGAAACAGTCATTTGTAGCAAAGACCTAAAGAACAGTGCCTCAGGAAAACAGTTTTTAGTATTTCAGTTCAATGACAGTAAACAAACTATTTAAATCTGTCTTTTACAATTTACTTAGTTATTTGGCTTTAAAAAGAAAAGGTTCACATATTATTCTTAAATTAATATAATTTGCAAACCCCAAACTGTAAATACACTAATAGCCAGAGGTAGGGTTGGGGGTAGTCTAGTAAATTGACCTCAATGGGTATATAGGAAAAGATACAGAATTTGGAGGCACACTTTGAAGAAAGTTGGCCCATTAATAAAATACAAATCTGCATTATTAGCACAACTACACAAATGTTCAAACACCATTACTGACTAGATTTTTAAATTAACCAAAAATTGAGCAAAATATTCTCATCAAAATAAGTAACTTTGGATCAACAAGGTTTTAAAAAATTATTAAAATCTGTTGTGAACTGGCTTCTTTTTGTGGTAAATACCTGAGTATGAAATCAGGAATGTACAAATCGGGGAATGGTAAAAAACTAGGAATAAAAACACTACTGTCAATAACCAAAGCAATGAAAAAGGAAAGTAACTTTCTATTAACCTATATATAAAAATAATCAGTATAGTTCTAATATTACATGATTTATGATCCTAATTATAATTTACTTTCTGAATAAAATTTAAAATATCTCCAGTTTTATTTTTCTGCATTTCAAAACTGAAAGTAAATGACTATTTCCAGTCTAGGACAGAGCTCAGTCTGATATTAAAAGACAACAGGGAGTAACTAGACAGAGTATTTTGGTATTCAAGCTGAAATGTATAAAATATACTGTGCCAGCCAAACAGAACACTACAAGTTTCTAATGAAAGCCCTCCCCATTTTTGATTCCTGGCTTAGGTGGTAACTACCTGGCTTTTGAAGAAGAAAACAGTACAATAAAATACAAAAATATAAATATTTGGGAGGATCTTAAAACTTTGTATTGAAGGTAAGTCTGGGAAAAAAACTAAAAACTTGAAAATATTTTACTATCTAGTTATCAGATTGGCTAGTTTAAAAACCTGACCAAGTTAGTAAGACCTTAAACCTTCAAAATGATAAACTTGGTAATTACGTATTTTAAGAGAATTACTCATTATCAATGAATTATCTACTTGTGTTCCATTAAAGCGGTACAGTCACCAAATAGTGTTGCTGTCTAATCACTGTTTGCAGAATTATAACCAGCTGTACTGTTTGTACTGTAAAAGTATCTATCCAGTCACTTAAGTATAAGCGACTGGGAATGCTCTTTGCTGTCAAGCATCACAGACACTGAATGTACTTAAAATACAAGATGCTGAGTGGATTTAATAGGTTTTGTATAATATCCTACAAAAACCAAACTGTAGTTATGATAAATTATTATGGAAAGAAAAGAAATGAGAGCCTGAGTCCCTACCCTCTCCCACTATAATGCCCAAATGTAAGACAGCACAGCTCAGTCTAGACCAGGTAAAAGAATGTATTAACATAACCCAACAAAAATGAAATAAAACAATCCAGAGTTTTGCGTGTTTTTTCACACTGTAATAAACTGGAAAAATGTTTAAGTAAACAACCGCATTCCATGAAAAAAGCCACTCCCATCATCCAGAATACTAAAGCCCTTATATAACACTAGAGAAATTTTAATTTATGTAAAACAGTAGACACTAGTATACCATTCATTAAAAACCTCAAAATATTCAAAAGAAAGTTACCAAGTACTCAGAGAAAGCTCAATAAACCAAAACCTCAGAATCCACACATCCTGGTATTCCCTGAATTGCCATTAACTACCCACATATTTAATCATAAACCAACTTTTTCAAAGATACACAGACAATGCATCTATTTAAAAAGATTACTCTTTATAGTTAAGGACTGTACATTAACTTTCACATTCTACTTGGCAAGATCTGTCTGTACTTCAGATTATTTCTCATGTTCCAGGAAATAAATACAAACTCATGATATGCCTGTGATCACTGATGGCCTGTTTATGCAATTCTACTCCACTAAATGTAATTCCATAGAATGTGTTCTTGATTATGTAAAGAACCTAATAATACTCCTTGATGAAAAAACTATAATTCTCTTCTCCAACGGTTACAATTTTTTAAAAGGTATGCGAAGAACTGAGTATCACTCCTATGAAAGACAAAAAGTATAATTTTGTTCCAAAATTAACTTAGTCTCATGTATTTCTATTAAGTCTTTCAAGGATTCCAGAGAATCTTTTCATATCTCCATTTCTGGAAAGTGAAACCAGTATAGAAGTAATTTGGGAACTTGAAAATGGCATTCTTTTTTTTTTTTTTCAGCAGATGCCAAATTTTTGACCGACATGGCTCCCACAATTACTTTGTTATCATCAGTCCAGTCAGTTAACAGGTTGTAGGAAAAGATTCGTTTTTTGCAGACACTGCTAAGCTGTTTAAAGAGAAGAGAGAGAGATTAATTTAGTGATTATAAAATGTACAAATATTTAAAATATTTTGAACACTTTTGTCGGCTTATATCAGAGGTGTGACTACATTTTAACAAACGTGGACATTTTAAGTTACGTCAGGTCAAGGAAGTGCAGAAACAGTAAGTCAATATGATAGAAATAGTAGGTCAATATGATGTGTTAGTTCAATTAATGTATGAATTCCTGTCACCATCAGAAGACAAATATTAAAAAGCTGTATCTTTAGTCTAGTTTTATATCATTTGCCATAGAGGCAAAATTAGGAGAAAAAAAAAGTTGCCCAAATACTAAATTGTCTTTATCCATTACAGAAAACGAGCCAAACCTGAAAATTTCAAAACAATCCATATATTCCAGAAATCACCTTTAACCAACTATTATTCATCAGAACACAATTTTCTAAAAATAGTAAGACAACAGTTTCATATTAATCATAACCTTTTAATTAACAAGTAGTGAATAGGACACTTTAAGATATTGTTTACTACATACTGAAATAAACAGATCTGTTGTAAATTCAGAAACTCAAACATTTACAGTAAAATGTGCTTACACATAAATATGACCAAATTTATTTAAAGCCCCTGATAGATCGGTCCTAAATACATGCAATACCATGTAAAAACAAGACCATGAAGTTGATGTAAAAAATGACAAAATCACTGAGTCACCAAAATTAGAAAAAAAAAGGAAAATGAAATGGAAACTAAGAAAAGACAGTTAAAATATAAGTAACCTAACAAAGCAGCTTTAAAAATAGGCGATACTAGTCTCCACTTTCAAAAGTTCTTAATCAAGTATTTCCAAAAAACTGCCATTTATAAAATGACATTCTACAAATCTACACTTGGAATTTCAAAGCATCCCAATTCAGAAAGCTTTTGACTACTGTTTTTCCCGAGCCCCAACTTCAAATAATGCAGGAAAATCATTGACGTTAGGAGAAAATATTCCAAGGAATCGTATAATTTTTAGAAAAAACGCACTTACTGCTTCCAGAACCTTTTAAGACCCACAGTCAGCATTAACAACAATCATTTTTCCTATTCTCATCCATTATTTTTCAATGTCATATTAGAGATGAAAAAAGTGTTTGAGCCCATAACTGAAAGATCATCAAACCTGGTTTTATTATGACACTGTATTTTTGTCATTGGTACTGCACAAAATTATATACAAAGAAATATATACAAAATGTTCAAGTATTAATTAAATTTCAATTCAAGGCTTCAGTTTCAAAAAGCTACATTTAACATATTCCATAGATAGCACAAATTAGTCATTTCAAATAACTCTTCCAACTACTTTTGATATATATAAATATATTTTGGTATATATTTATATATATTTAAATATTTGTATTTCAGTAGGCACTAAAATATCCATGCATTGTGAGGGGCTTGCTCCTGCACTTAGGTATAAGCAGGTTCATCCACTCCAGGTTGTGAGTTTGGCTACTACCCATTCATGCTCAAGTGCAGTAGATGATTTTACAAAATCTGCTGTGATGCACTGGAAACCAGAGACCAAGTTTGGTCTCAAATAGCATTATCTAGCAACAAAACATTTACAGTTGTGCAAGAACAAGGATTCCATTTTCATAACCAAATAACAACAAAATAAAACATTTTGTGTGTAAGATAACTTACATCTTTGGACTGCTGGAAAATACTTTTTAATTATGAACATTTTAAAATAAGACAGCAGAAGCCCTGATATTACCTCTTTTCCTCATTTCTTATACTACCTTTTAAAATAAAGCAGGAAATGTGGCCAGCAGCTGGTCCCGTCTCTTCTGCCCCAACAGCTGTATCCACTTTAGCACAAAGAAAAACAAGGATGCTAAATAGGTATATACTTTATCAAACAGTGATGTTTCACAAAGAATTTCTTAATGCCTCTTACACTGAAGGCCACCGTAACTCAGTATATACAATTGGACGATAGATAAGAGTACTTCAAGGGAAGAATGTATCCCATCTTTGGAAAGAGTCAATCATGTCATTAAGTAGACAGAACCATTCGATTTCTAAAATTATTTTTAAATAGGACAAATAGTTTTTAAATACAGAAAATAAGATTCTTTGTGAAGCCTCACTTTACATGTTTTCATTCATATTTCACAACCTTTAAAATCTAATCATACATAAATTTAACCTAAAATTTTAATACAACAAAAATAAAGGTGTTCAACAATTTATTCATACTCAGTGACAGGGTAATATCACTGTGCTGGCTCTCAAAGAAACATTTCATTAACCATTCTCATTCCTCCTTCAAGTAACTAACACAGGAGTCTGATATGCATGTTAACTTCCAACTTCTCTAATGGTGAGATATTAAAATCTATTAATTTGAATATTGTATTTCTATATTTTCTACTTAAAACTAAAAGGCATTCTTGAATATTTAAGAGTTATTTCGCTGTCACTCCCAGCAAAACAACTATCACATTTGTGCATGCCCCAAACATTTATTGTCAACCTCTGAAAAGTTGTCCTAAAACTGGAATTCCAATTTGCACCTCGTACAACTCGGAACTTCCATTCAACTTCACCTGTTTCACTGTCTCCAAACTGTATCTCTATTAGCAGCTTTCAGTGTACAGTTGGAATCGATGTCTTCCAAGGCCATGTCCACACTGGGGACAGAAGAGCTAGGTACACGCAACTCTGAACAAGGGGACACATTAACAGCTATTTCAACCATAAGAAGCATCTTAAATACATTATTGACCAGCACAAGTCTGTTTCCAGGGTGGACAGGGCCCAAATTAGACTCCCCTCCCACCTTCCAAAAAAGAAAAAAAAATAATCACACACACACAAAATTGAGATGTTGCCCATTAAAGTAGACTAAGCAGCAGAGCATGAGCGTTACGTGAAGAGATGGATCCTTACCAGGTTGTGAGACGGGAACGACTGTTCTGTAACCCCTACAACGGAGCCTGGCAGGAAGGAAATCACCTAAAAAAGAAACTGTCAGAGAGATTTAATAGTCACATGTTATCATTGGGAGTTGGTTACAGTGTCACATTCATGCTTTTAGCTAAACACTTAAAGATTCAATATTACTTTTTTTCCTCCTGAAATGTGTCCAGTGAAGATGTCCCACTAAGGTGTTTTACATGGTGTAAGGGAGTTGAAAGGGGTAAACGCGGATAAAGAGCAGATTACTTGACCCTACATTTTAAGAGAAGACGACGCCTTCCGGGCGCACGCCGAGCAGAACTCCACCGACACCTTATCCTTGTCCACATGAAGACACACTCCTCCCGCTGAGTCGTCCTCTTCTAGCAGGTCCTGCTGCTGCTTTCCCACCGGCAAGGCGTAGTCATGGTCACCGGCGGGCGAGTCTCTGAAGAGCGAGGTGGTCAGCCGCAGTCCCACGCCGCTCAGCCGGCTCAGCAAGCGAGCCAGTCCGGTCTCGTTGGCCAAGACGGCCCGTAGGTAGCGACTCTCCTCCTGCAGTGCTTGCACGCGCTTGCCCAGCTCCCGATTCTCGGCCCGCAGCTCCTGGTTCTCGGCTGCCAAGGCCCGGACTCGACTCTCCAGCCCCATCACGTACTCCTTTTTCTTCAGCCGATTAAGACGGGCAGCAGCCGCCGCCGCCTTCCGAGGACTCTTTGTCGCCGCCTGGGTGCTGTCGTTGCCGCTGCCGCCGCCGCCGCCTCCAGGGGACTTTCTCCGCCTCTTTTCGCCGCTGCCACTGTCACTGCCGCTGCTGCAGCCTCCGATACCGTTTAACAGCCTCTGCAGCAGGTCAGAAAATCGCTGCATCTCAGCAGCCGCAGACTCGTCGTCGTCGTCCCCTCTCCAGAGGCCGCCGCTATCGGAGCCTCCGCCAGACGAGGAGAGGGGCCCGGGCGAGCTGAGTTCGGGTTCCAGATGCCAGTCTGGTTGCCGGGGGTCCAGCAGATCCGCCAGTTCCAGCCCGGACAGAAAGTCCATGTCCTCCGTCTCTTCCCCAGGGACGCTGGCGACCGCCTCCTCCTCCATCTCCTCTGGCGAGGGCGCGCGCAGCCCTACGCCGCCGCGGCCCCCCCTCCCGTCCTCCACCTCGCCCTCGTCTCCGCGCGGCTGCTTACTGCCTGCAGATCCAAAGGCCGCCGTCTCTTCGTCCTCCGCCGCTGCTGCCGCCCGGGTCAAGTCCGGGGGCAGTAAGCAGGTGGCGGCCTGCGCAGGACTCTCGCTGCGGGTTGGTGAATCGGTGCCGGAGGCCGCCAGCAGTTTGGTCAGGATGTGCCTCATGGGGCCCAGCGGCGGGCCCACGTAGGCCCCAGCCTCTCAGACCGGGCCTCGCGGGCCCCAAAGACCCCAGGCCCCAGCGCGGGTAAGCGGTGAGCCGACCAGAACGAAACGAAGGGGAAAGTCCGAGTCGCTTCCCCTCCACACTTGGCTGGTGCACCCTCCGCGCCCAGGCGGGGGAAGGAAGAAAGATCAAGACAACGAGGCGCCGCGATGACTCGACCGCGCCACCGAGACGACGGCCTAGGCGGAAGTCGGTCCGTCTCGCCCCAGCCCCTCCCACGGCCTTTCGCGCTCCACCTGGCTCCAGTATCGCGAGAGTTCAGGGAGACCTGGGGTGGGAATAATTCCAGATTTCCAGTGATGTCATAGTAACAGCCGCAAAACTAACAAAACCCCGAGTTTATTGAAAAAGTGATCTATTCTCTCAGCCCTCACTTCGCAACTCTGCATTCTCTTCTACTTCCAATGAAACCACTCTAGCTCAGAAATTACCTTTAGGATACCAACTTTTGAATAAATTTAAAGTTACCCTGGATTTCTCCGGAATTTATGACTGGTGACCAGATCCCTCGAAATTGCTCCTTTCCCCTTTCGCTATAATACAATATCTTTTTAATTACAACACTTACAGAGTAGTAGGAGAAAAAAGTCGTAAATAAACCACTCATATATAATTTAATTTTCCAACTTTTTCTTACAAAAACTTCCAAACATATTGAATATAGTACAGATTTCACTATAATTCAACCCAATACCCAGACTCGACAATTTAGCAATTAATGTTTTGCCATATGCGCTTAACCTGTATATAAGTGTTTGTAAAAAACACTATGTTTTTTATGAATTATCCCAAAGTTCCAGACAATACACACCACCCTAACATAGTTCACTATGCCTCTCTAAACATAAGGACATTCTCTTTTATAATCATAACGTTATTATCAGGTCTTCAGAAAATTAACAATTATTTGGTAATACTATTACCCAGGTCTACTCAAATTTCCTCAACTTTCCTCAGAATAATCTTTTACGTGGATATTTTCTTTTGATCCAGGATGCAAATAAGAGTCACTACATTCGGTTGCTATGTTCTCAAACTAGATTAGTTCCATTTACTTTTAAGTTTTTCTTAATATTGATTTTCTAAAGAGACAAAGTAGGTTCTTTGGAAAAATTCACCACATTCTCGTTTTGTTTCTTCATAGTGTTATCTTTGTTCCTTTAATCTCACATGGAATTTGAGATTTGGAAGCAGTTCACAAATACATTAGAAACAAACAATTCAAATTTTTAACAAGCAAGGCCAGTGAAAATATAGATGAAATAGGAAGATAAGGATTTCTAAAAGAAGGAAAGGTTAGTTCGGAAAAGCATAGACAAATTGAGCTAACAATAGGCTAAGCTTCCTGGCAGCCCAAACCAAAAAAAAAAAAAAAAAAGAAGCAAACTTTCCTTTGTTCATGAGTAAAGTAAACCATGTATGAATTCCTTACCCACTTTTCAAACTCTTAGGTTTTAAACTTCTCTAGGGAATATTGAATAAAGCAGCAGTTAACCTCAACAATAACTACTTTTATTTATACAGCTGTTTTTCAGAAGGACAGAAAGCAAGTTTAAAGAAAGCTGGACATTGATAGGTCCCAAATATCCAGAACAGTCCCTAGCACAGTTTAGGTATCAATAAATATTTGTCAAATAATTGAATAAACAAGGTCTCCAATTTTGTCAGAAGGCATAGTAATAAAGGTCAACTAATGAAAACAATTCTGCCAGGGGCAAAGTAACTGTGATCTATGGTATCTAGAAGACTAAATGAATGACCTCCATGTCCCTTTTAACCTTCCCAGTAAGAAAAGCTTTTGTTAAAGTAGAATACCGAACAGTGACAAGGTGATATATGCTCTGACCTGCCTTTAGTTACGGGTGTTTTGTGTGGCTGCTAATCCCATCCAACTGCATTTTCTCCTTAAGAAAAATTCAGAATCATGGATTAAACTATTATATTTTTCCCTAATTACAGATTTTGGTTTAAATATACATGGCTTACAAGCCTCTCCAGTTGGACTAAGACAAAAGTAGAAAACTGGAAGAGAAGGAAGTTTTACAAGGTAGCCTCAGAACACAAAAAAGCAAGTAAAGCAAGAGTAAACCTCCCAGAAAATAGATCCTCTACCCCTTTTCACCATTCATCCCTTTTCTTGTCCTTATTCTTCTCACTCTTGATTTTTTCCAGCTGTTTTGCTTTTTTTTCTAGTTACAACGATCATTGCAAAAAAATTCAGAAATGTATTAAAAAGTAGACAGAGATTACTCACAATCTAACTATGCCAAAATAACTATTAATAAAATTTTGGTATGTATATAAAGAGTTTTCTCTGTACATATACATATTGTTTTTATTTCTTTGAATTCTACTGTTTTGGTATGAATATATTGTGGACTTCTTCATAGAATTAAATATAGATCCACATGTTTATTTTTGATGACTGTCTAGAATTCCATTTCATGAGCTTTGCAACTTTTATTCACTGGGAACTCTTGCCCTGACTAAAGATGGCAGCCAAAAAAAAGGGTAAGAGACACTGGGGAACTGATAAAAAATGAGACACTAATGTACTACAGGAATGCCCAGATATGAAATAACATACGAAGTTCTGGGCCAAGCATTTAAATTAGGGTGGGCTGAAGGTCAGAATGAAAAAGAGCCATGGGGTCTGCAGTGAGAGAGGAGGTCTGCAGCAGAGCTGATGGAGCTGTGGGGACCTGCCTAGCTACTTAGATGCTTGAAGCTGAACTGTGACGAAGAATGCTGAGTTGCAGACTCCTGCTTCTCTGAAGGATGTATGGAGAAGCCACTCTCTTGGCATGTGTGCATCCCTGGACTCCACCATGATCCTATGTAACATGGCACATGTTTTCCTGAATCACTACATGAAGGCTAAGAACAGTGTACCTGAAATTCTAAAGAACAAAGCTGCTGCAAAAGAATGATGACTCTAAAACCTTCAAGTGCATTCCAAAAAGGATGGAAATCTGTGTAACCAGATAATGAGTTAAAAATATGGGAAACTTCTGGACATGGTTTTGGCTTGTAGCCTTTTGGAAATCAAGGGAAGTTCTGGGTCTCGTGGAAAAGGAGGGCTCTAAGCAGGAGTACTCTCAGCCCCACAAAGGTTGAAACTGTTAAAAACCTGTTTCCTTCAACACTAATTGTTGGGTCACATGTAAAGTCACCAAGTCCCAGTTTTCTCGGTAACAATATTATAAACTACATGATACTATTGTGCAAATATCTTGGTTTACTTATCCTGTAACCTCCTTAGAATAAATTCTTTGAAGTAGAATTTCTAGACAAAATATTTATTCATAGATCTTATTACCTATGGAAAGGTATCTCTCACCAATGGTGTATGACAGTATTTAGCTCCTGCACATGCATCGATAGTTGATTTGTTTTTTTAAAAACGTGCCAATCGAAAAACAAAAAGTGGCATATTTTCATGTGAATTTGCATTTCTTTCATTATTAAAAAGTTGCATGTTTTTCACATACCAATTGATTTCTAATGCGAATATCCTCTTCACATCCTTAGTCCATTTGTCTTTGAGGAGGGAAAAAATGTTTTTCAGGAAAAATGTTTGTCTTTTTCCTTCTTGATTTAGATAAACTTATGCATTATAAGGAAAACATACTTTGCCCCCTATATGTTCCAATTTTCACCCAGCTGATTATTTATTGGGGGATGAAAGCGGTGAAATTACTTATTTTGCTACAATTATTAAATAGTCAATCAAATTTTTCTTCATGGGTTCTGACTTTAATATTAAGCCTAAAAAGGCTTTATTAGCCTAAATAATACTAATATTATCTATATGTTTTAGAACTTCTTTAATTATTTCTACTTATACATTACTAAGAGTGTTTTTTAACAACATGAGTGACATTTTATTTTATTTTGATCCAAATGGAATTTATTCTGGTATATAATGTGGCATAGGAATATAATTTTTCAAAATGTGATCTGCCATAATAAAATTTATTGAAAAATTCATACTTGCTCCATTTGTTTGTCAACATGTATCCCATATATTAAATTCTTACATGCAGCTGGATCTATTTCTGCTCTTCTTCTATTTCATTGATCAGTCTCATCATTCTGGAAGCAAAATCATTCTTTTTTTACTGCAGTTTTATAAAATATCTCATAGGACAACTCCTTTGTTAGTCTTACTTTCTCAGGATTTTCTATCCACAGATGAATATTTATTCTTCCAGATAACTTCATAAATTTTCCAAGTTCAAAAAAAGTTGGAATTTTTATAAAAATTGCATTAAGTTTATTTATTTATCTTTCCCAGTTATTTCATTCATACTTAGTTACTGGACTAGATTATTTCTTCTTTTATATTTTCTAAATGGCCATTGTTGCTACACAGGAAAGCGACTGATATTTTTCATTAAATTTTTAACTGACTAACCCACTGAAATTTCTTACTAGTTTTTATTTTCAGCTTATTCATTCAAATTTTCCTGGTAGACAATTATGTCACTTTTTTGTATATAAGGACAATTTTGCCTCGTTTACAATACAATAATGAAATAGCACTTCCAGATTGATGTTAAATAATACTGTTGATAGCCAATTTCCTTGTCTTATTTCTTACCTTAACAGGAATGTCTCTAGTGTCTAGCTATTGATTTGAGATGAATATTTTTATTAGGTTAAGCTCAGTTGCAGAAAACAGATACCAATCCAACTATTTTAAGCAGAAAAAGATGTAACACAGAGAATGCATGCTTAGAAAGTCGCTGAAAGGATGTGAGGCATGGGCATTAGGCTGAGTGATCAAGAATGCCCCTCAGTACAATGTGGCCAAACAGACCTGGTAAAAAACTGCTCTCTCTGCCCCAGTTGGGTAAGTTTTGGCTTCAAGAGCACAACTGCTGCCAAAACACTCAACCCCATATATTATATTGCTGCCTAATAAGTTACTCAAAACCTTAAAACAACAATAAATCTTTGCTAATTGTGACTTAAAACAACAATAAACATTATCTCTCACAGTTTTTTGTTGGTCAGAAATTTGTAATTGCCGTTATGTGGTCTGGCTCCAGAATTCTCATGGAATTAATCAGATTTTGGCTGGGGCTGTCGTCATCTGAAGGTTTCACTCAGGCTGGAGGGTCCACTTCCAAGGCGGCTGACAGGTTGGTCCTGCGGAATGCCTCAGTGACCCTTCCATGAGG